ATTATTATTATTATTATTATTATTATTATTATTATTATTATTATTATTATTATTATTATTTTCCGTCGATCCGTCGATCGGTGGGTCCTTTTTTTTTTTTACAACTTCTCTTGGCACGGTGCCACCGGGGAGAAGATGACAATAGAGAAATAGCCAGAAATAGCAATACCGGATTGCTTGGATTCAGAAACTTTCTCTGCCTCCCCCCCCCCCGCTCCCTCCCTCCCACTACCTTTTCGGTCTTCGCTGCGGGGTTATAAAAGTGCAGCTGTACGTGTTCGCCTGGAGAAATTAAAAGAGAAACTTCGCCGTTTTTTCCTGAGAGGTTTCTTTGTCTCCCACCCTCCAGACTGGATTCCCCTGGGCGTGTGTCTGACATCCACCAAAATTCTCTCCGACCCCTCTCCGCCCAACCCCACCCTGACGCCCTCCCCCGTTTCTTTGGAAACTTTTTCGAAGTTGCACTGGGGGAAATTAATCAGGTATTTTTATATATATAAAAAAAAAAAAAACCCGGGCGAGGTGGGGGGAAAAGCAGAAACCAATGGTGAAAACCGCCCTCTCCGTCTCTCCCCAAGAGAGGCTCCTGCTTTCAAGACTAAACAGAGCGAGGCATCCCTTTTAATTCATTTATCTAATTCTGTGTGGGGTGGGGTGGAGAGATACAAGCCCGTAGACGCGATATATGTATTTATTAAGCTGAACTTCGCCAAGAAGCGCTTCTTCCCGGGAATTTATATAGCATTGAAACTAAACTGCTGGGGGAGAGGGAGAGAGAGAGAGAGACAGAGGAAAAAGATTTTTTTTTAAAAAAAAAAAAGAGAGAGAGAGAGAGAAAGAAAGAAAAGAAAAGACTGACTATGAGCTGAAGTGACCACAGCAGGATATGACGCCAGGAGTGTTGTAAAGACTGTCTGTCTTTAAAGAAGGTACCATTGTGCATGTCCTTTTATTTATAACTTGGTAAGTGCCAGCAAACTCGCCTCCTTTACACTCTGAAGTGCCAGCCCGGCTTTCCACAGCGCTCCTTTTTTTTTGGGCAATAGTCTATTCAGTAACTGTCACTCTCAAGCTTCAAGTTATTCAAGACCTTAATCAATCAAAGGGATGAGAATCGTTCAGGTTTTTTTCCCTCTCTTCTTTGAAATAAAGGAAACAATGAGATTGGAGCTGACGCTCTCTCTTCCCTCTCCCCTTCCCCAACAACTTATGATTCATTTTGGAATTATTGATTAAAAAAAAACAAAACAGAAGGGCTGTTCATTTGCTATCTTGGAATGAAAAATCAGCGCCGAGACTAAAATAAAGTGAAAACAAATTTAGATCTGAGAAACGAAGGTACCCTTTCCGGCCAATGTGACACTGATAACTAAACAGAATTCCATGAGCAAATGAATTTAGAGTATGGAAAAGTTTAAAAAAAAAAAAACACTCAGGGCAATGCAGTGTAGCCATAAGTGTGTTTATGTTTATGTGGTTGTGTGTATGAAAACGCATCTTAGTATATTATTTGGATGGATAATACAAAAATCGAGATTCTTGGAGGTCAGAATGCAGCCCATCACTGAAAAGAAGGGAATATGCTAACAGGAGTTTGTGACCACCCCTTTTAACATGTGCTCGCTTGGATAAGGCGGCATAAGGAATTTGTTTTACCTTCTAAAGCATTCAGAATGCCTGGAAGGGGAGCTGAAATGGCGTTTGGAAGTACGGAGAGGAAAATGGCTTTAAAGATAACAGATGCTTTACCAAAGTTGAAGAAGGAAAAGAAACATAGCTTGTAGTTATATTGTTTTCATTCACAAAAGATTAATTTCAATGAAATTATGCCCTTACTCTCAAATAGTAAGATTAGAATTGAAGGATCAATCATAAATGTTCCCAGAAAATCAGCTGCATCTGGAAAACAGGCCAGAATCCAACAATAATTGTTTTTTTCCAAAGCATTCTGAATTTCTCAGACTATTGTGTAAAATTAATTGAAGGAGTTAAAGCTTTTCATCATTTTAAAAGCCTAATTATACAAATTGAGCCTTTGTAAATTCCACTGTCCTTTCTCAAATCTTCCCAAACTTTTATTTAGATATTAGATTTCCCATTGCATTTGGGGGGTTAATAGTTGAACAATGTAAGAAATATATTACTGTACTGCATGTGTTCAGGGGTTTACATGATATCTTGAAGCCTGGATATACATTTATGGATGCATTTAAACAGATAACCTAAATCAAAACCTCATTCTTTGAAAGCTGGTTTTATTAAATCTAGTGAATTGAAGAGCCACACATTTTTCTGTGTCTGGTTTCCAGTAAGTCCAACAAGATACAGTAAGAGTAACTTCCAGTTAAGTAGGAAACTCTAATTAACTTCATTGCAGGAGGAAATTTCCCTGTAATATATTGATTAGCTTGTACATTTTACCTTGTCAACTTTAGAAGACTGATTACCTATATATAGTTAAAACTCCCACGCCCATAAGCCTACTATTAATTCTGTGAAGATCTTGCCCCATGATGGATTGAAAGAAAATAAACAAAGCAGTAGTTATTAACAGTTCTGATCCCATCAGATTGGGGGCAACAAGACAAGTTCAAGCATTGGGGGGGGGGATCAATTCTATGCACGTTTCTCAAAAATAAACCTTGTGGGAGTAAATGAAGTTTGTTTCCAAATATGTGTGGACACGATTCTAAACTTAATAGTAAGGCGTATGTCCAATATCAGTCCCAAATTCTTGTAAAGTAGCAGAAGTCCAACCAAAACTTTGGATTCCTCAGAGCTCCATATCAGTTAGCCGTCTTTTTCTCTCCATTCTCAACAGTGTTCTTGAAAATAGCACAGAAACACGCACACACCCTGATTTATCCGGTGTTTCGATGGACTGTAGTTCGGAGAGGCTGAGAAGTATTATTTCACTGTCTCCCACTGCTTTGGAGAGTGAATGGTTATAATTTGCTATTAGTTCCACTCCAGTAACATCTCACTGCCTCGATGGCTGCTCTAAGCAAGGAAGCTTAAGTTCCTCGCTTGATCTGTATAGATGTTGTGTGTGTGTGTGTGTGTGTGCGCCTGTGCAACACAAACTCATAAGACCTAGTGTGGAACCTTAACTCATTTAAAACTCCGCTTGTGTAGCTGAATAAAATCAACATCTAGATTGCTTTTGCTGCCCTGAGCGGGTGAACTTTAGGATACAATTCTTCACCACTGCTCCCCCTCTCCCCCCCCTCTTCCATTGAAAGGATTGTCAGCTGTTACAGTTTCTGTGCTGCTTTCCATTTATTCCAACGGATTTCTCTGGAAGAGAAATTCCGATTGAAGGGTTACTTCGATCCATTAATTAAGCCCCAGAAGAGTCCATTCGCTCTTGTAGTGCGGAGGAAGGTCTCACAAGTCAAGATAGGCGTTAAGTACTTTCTAAAATATCCCTTTAAAAAATTCAGAGTCCCGAACTGTAGAACTGGTTGCTCCTGCCACGATCCTAAACATGTTTCCCAGTAATATCAGTAATACGACCAACAAAATTAACTCCGCTTAGGGTAGGACTTCCACCTCTGAAAAGCTGCAAGGAACGCTGAAGGATCGGACCAAAAGCCAACCTTGATCAGCGTTCTGTTCTTACAGTAGCCAACCGAGAAATACCTAATTAAGGACAAGAGTCCCATCTAAAAACATGGCTTGTTGGATGCTTTATGGATAAACTACGATTTATTCCACCAAGCCATACACCATGGTTTGCAAACCACATCTGATCTGATGCACAGGAGAAACTACACAAGCCACGTAAAGGCCTAAGAGCGATGGGTCAAGCCGGGCCTGGAGCAACCTGGAGATTAATCTAGATTCCTGTTGGAGAGGCGTTTTATCCGCAGGGAGCCTCGCTTGGCTCGAGTGGGACGTTCTGATAAGAGGACGAGAATGTCTGTCAACTGCGATGAGTGTAACGTGGTTAATGTTTAGGTAAGCGTTACAGGAAGGCAGCCCTTGAAAGAAACCACTGAGAATGGATTTCGTTGAATTGTAAGCTCTATGGCTTCTGGACCGAAATTCAGGTCACTAGCGGGATACTCTACGGGCAAAATCTAAAACCGCTGAATGATTGATAATCTTCAAGAGCGATTGAAGCAAGACTCGCAGAAGAAGAATGGCTAGGGGCTTACTTCAGGATTTTGGCATTTGGGATTGGGACTGAGAAGCGCAGGAACCCTTCCTCTCTACCCGGATAGCCGGTTCTCTTCTCCCTCCTGGGAACGCCATTGCCCTCGAGTGGGCTCTCAGTCGCAGCTTTAGGATCGCAGCCGCTGGTCTCCGCGCAATGCCT